CTGAAGCTAAAGTAAGCATATACTGACACAGTCGCCAACACACTTTGATATTTGATGTGGCGTTTCCTATTCACAACTTCAACTATATTGCGTTTCACTTTTTTCAAATGCTCCACTTTCATTTTTCGCAATTTTCTCAAGTTGCACAAACACAAGTGGGGGCGGTGTTGTTGTTGCTAATATTGCTGTTACTGTTTGCATAGCCCTTTTGGCAAGTCAGGAAAGTAGGTCAGTGGTGTTGTCTTAGCGTTTGGTCAGGGCAACACATGCCACATGCCACACCGTTCTAGGAAGCACGCTTGCAAAAATAATCGATGGCAATGTGTGTAAAGGCAGGCTTTTAATTAGCTTTGAAGACGGAGTTTTCTTGGGGGTGGGTGTAGATAATTGTGCACAACCTCTATCGCATTAATGAAATGCAAGATTCAAAGAAGCAAGGGCGGAAACTATTGAAGTTTGAAAGCGACGCTGTCAATACTACTTTGCCTATCAAGCGGTTAAAAAGTAACCGCAAAAACATATGATTCATTAAACCATGAATACCATTATTTAACAAAAACCAAACAAAAGTAAACGTCTCGACTTGCAAATTATTTATTAGAATTGTGTCTTTCAGGCTTACTTACTTGTATTTGTCTTACGCGCTCTTGCTTTCAGCGATTGATCGAACTGCGCTCTCTTAGCCCTTTGCGACAAGTTGGGGCGCTCGACCACCCACATTCCAACGTGTTCGCACATCTTAGTACAACAGACTCAAAACATAAATGTAAACAAGTTAACAGATTGTTATGCAAAGCATACGGCAAATTCTGTTAATTGCGTTTTCTTCTTTCTTATTTTGTGCCTCTGTTACGATGTTTTCTTGATATTTGACTGCCAACTGTAACGTTGTTGGAAAGAGAGAAAGAATGCCCAAACATAAAGGCAAACGATAATATGTTAAATGCATGTACACACACATACATGCACACATATGGAGAAGTAAAATAGTCATTAAAAATGTAAAAATGCATATTTATAATGCAGTAACCCAATATAAATCAATGCGTACTTACATTAATATACATAATTCAAATTTGCAAGCCTTTAATTATTTAAATTACAATAATAATCGCTTAAAAAACAAAAATTTATTCACTGCGCAATTCGATTTGAGTCACAAACACACACACACACACATACATACATAGGCACATAAAAATGTACGCATCACATTTTCGCGCGGCGTTTTCGCATTAAAAAATACATTTTATGCACGATGCTCACTCAAATTAACATTTACATATGTTTTCACATAATTTTACTATATATTTAAACTAAACTAAGCAAATTTAACTACACGTTTGCTAGAGTTTTCGGCAACTCCAATGACCGACGGCGCGTCGCGTTCAACAGGTCGAGCAAAACTAAGCCTTGCATTGCATCAGCCGGCAGCATGCTCTCTCTAAGAATGCAAAAGTAAAAGCAAATAATCAAAAATCATAACTGTAAATCAGCTCTCGCGACAGCCGTACGTGTGAAACGTAGCGAGAATGACAATAATAGAGATTGCAATTTATTTTAGCAAATTGTAGATTTTTAAATTCCACGAATTGGAAAAATGTTAATAATTACTTAATAAAAAAAACTTAATAAATAAATAAATGCAATGGAGACTGCAATTTATTTAAGCAAACTGTAAATTTCAAAATTCTACAAATTGGAAAAATGTTAATAATTACTTAATAAACTTCAACATGTGAATTAATAAAATGATTGATTTGCATAAATCTTGAAAAAACAGCAAGAAAAATTTGTTGGTTTTATAATTTGCTTTTAAATTATTAATTCCCTTTATCCGAATTGACTTCTGTTGATAGGGAAACTCAACTATTGCTCGTGTTTTATCTCCGTGCCACTAAAAACAACACATGTGCTACTAATTTAACAAAATTAACTACCAATGTGTTATCATAAACTGCCCTGGCATTCCGTGCATAATTGCAGGCGTTAAAACTTCAATCCAGCACACGCAGGCAGAACTTTAAACACGCGACAAGCGGTCTCTCTGTAAGAGTTGAGAATTGGTAACATTTGCATACCCTACAATTTAACATGACTTGCTTATCATTGCCAAAAATCAAACTAAACACGCGAAAAACAAACAGGAGGGGGTTAAACACTTAACCCTTACCGCACAAACAGCCCCAGGTCAGTGGCGACCCTAATTTCCAGGTCGCTTGTTGTCATGTCACGACAATTAAATTTTTTCACTGCGCTTTAGCGCGATTTAAATTAAGATAGGCGGCAAATTAGCGCCGAATGAAAAAGCGCGGCCCGTTGTTTGCATAATTATTGTCCAAAATTTTTAAGGGAACTGCATTCCGCTTATCAACGGCTCTTGATCATTTGTCACAGATGTTCGGTGCGCTTGCTCTTTTTTTTAGGGTTATGGGTTCGGGGGTGCTCACGCGTTGCTCTGATGACTTAACATTTAATTCGCGGCATTGTGGTTAGGCAAATAATAGTTAAGCGTATCCTTCTTTATTTAACCCTTTCGAGAGTCGCACCACTGCAGGAGCGGCATGACCCGACGAAAAGGCCAACCATTTATGAATGTGCTGCGCAAAAATTGTTTTATTTCAAGGTGACATATTGGTTTGGACGATAAGTATCGTTAAATGTTTCGTTTCCTTTTGCCGTATCCTGTGGGCACGGCTGTCAGGAAGGAAAGGGTTGTAAGTGCTGTGGTGAATAGGCAAATGTTTGAGAAAGAGGTCTCCCTCAAATAGCAGACAGTTAGCATAAAAGGACTCTTATTTGTTTTAAAGTTGATTAACATTAGTTCATATTTCTTTTTAGTTTTGTCAAAAATAATAGAATGTTTTATACGTTTTTTTTTTTAAATAAAAAATTAAATCTTGTTTTTTTTTTATAATCAGTTATAATCTCAGGAGCAAAACATGTTTCTTGCTTTATCAGTCTCTATCGAACCAGCTTTGTCAGTCAAAATTTGTGATACAAGCAGAGTTAAGAACATCTCGAGAAAGAATTTTTTTGTATTTAGTCCCAGTTTTAACAGAAACTTGGAGTATATGTCTATAAGGAAATTGTTCGACTTAATCAGCTTGTTGGTATGGCAAAATGAAATGACAGCAAAAAAAATTTTCAAATAAATAATTTGCTGACTGGTTTCGTTTTACGCTCTTCAAATAAAACCTGCAAACTGCAATCTCTGTTTAAGAAGACACCTTTATGCTGCGAATAAATCCCCCGTTAGATCCCAAGAGAGTGTGGAGCGCATGTTATCTCGAGAGCGTAGGAGAATGTTATTAACAGAGAGCGTTAAGGGAACATTTACAGCAGCTGTACGCCGACAGAGATATTTCTAACACATTTAGCAAAATACACTTCAAATAAAATTCGAATAATTCATTATTAACGTTAAATCTAGACTAACTAATTATTTGAGAACAAAAAACTGTCAATGAAATAACTTCAAGAGAAGTAAATTGTTTTTCTTGAAAAAAAAGACTCTAGAAAAACAAAATAGTTGTAATTATTTAAATATAAATGCCAAATAAAATAATTATAAAATAAAACAATAAAAATTTTTAAAGATCAACTTTGTATTAAATAAGAAAGTACTAAAAATAGGAGGAGTAGTAAAATATAAAAAAGTCTAGTTATTAAATATTATGAAAATCTTGATAGCACATGTTAAACAAAATAATGTAAATATTGCAACTGATTGAATGAATATATAATGCTATATAGTTTATTTTCAAAATAAAAACCACCTCAAAATAAGGACAAATAAATAAATTACGCATGCTAATAAATTAATAAGATATCAATGAATATAAATTTATGAAATCTAGAAACCCTTTTCCCACCCAACATTAAATAAATCAAAATACATTTTCTGTAATTTTCTTATAAAATTGTATTTAATGTTGTTGTTTGTCATATAAAAAGTTTAATTAGCTTACAAGTGTTTTGCGACATTTGTAATTTGTAATATTTTTATAATTTTGCCAAAAATAAATAATATTGTTGTAATTTTGCTAAAATGAATAATAGTTTAATAGTTCTTAGTCCTTAATTTTCATTTGTGTTGCGGTTGTTATCGAAATTGCTTGCAAGTTTTTCTTGTTTTGTAAAATATATAGTAGTATATTCCATTGAGTTGACGATTTTTTCGTAGTTTTGTGGATTATTATTTTTTCTTGGTTCGGCGGTTTTCTGGCTCTTTTTCAGCATTTGTTGTTTGTTGAATAAAAATGGTCAGCTTACTGGCTATTTTGTACACTGTAGTTGTTGTCTTTGTTGTTTGTAATTGATTTTTACATTTGCTTGGTTCTGTATACAAGTACATTAATACCTTTTGTTAGGTTTTGTAGTAGGAGTGCTTTAATTTGACATTTAGGTTATAAGTATGTTGTATTTAGTAAGTATATGATAGTATGAATATAGTATGTATGTTGTAGTGTACAAGTATGTGCTTGACTGTTTATTGTAGACACTGATGTATTATATTTAGTTTTGTTTCTGATACAATTGTGATGTTTGTCTCCAGCTTGACTTTTCGTCTTTGCATATCTAGCCTGTTTGAACCAACTTTGCAGATTACAACCCGAAACCTTTCCTTCTATATATGTATATTTATGTGTATATTGTATAATTAGAAACTTAAGCTTAGTAAGATGAACAAATTGCTTTGCCTTGCTCCACGCCTGCTCCCTTTTAAAAAATACTTCAAAAATTTGACACCAAAAAGTACCAACAATATCAGCAGTTCTTTACAAAAACATCACTTTCAGCAATCGACGACAAATTTTGAATTTCATTTGAAAAATGTTGCCATATAAAAAATAGTGGTAGCATTTCTCCAAACCCTTACTCCAACCTCCTGCCCCTTGCTCCCACCAGCATATTCAAAAATCACAATGCGCTTTGATTGAGCCGCTAACGATGAACACGTAGTTGTTGCATCGTAGTCTTATTCTCGTTTCCAAAACTTAGTCGCTGACGTCATCGTCGGTCCGGTCGCTCTCGCCAGGACCTGTTGGCGGTCCACTGCTGATCTCGAAGGATATCTGTATGACCGTCGGCGTGCGTTGTGTGCTGTTGTAGCTGTAGAGGCGCAAGGCATAGCAGAAGATTTGCGCCAACAGCTCCCAACAGCCCAGATCCTGTTGATCCTGACTGGCACCCAACATGTTGCCTTGCTGCCGGGCCAGAGGCACGGAAATATTAGCACGGAAGTGGCTGCCATATCGTTGTTGTTGTGGCCGTTGCTGCTGCTGCTGCTGTTGTTGTTGTTGTTGCTCGGAACTTGAGCCGCTTGTCTGTTGAGATGAGCCGCTGACACCTTGGCTGGGCTGCTCATTATTTTGTTGACTGTTGCTGTTATTGTTGTTGTTGCCGCTGGTTCTGGCCAACAATTTGGCCTGATCGGGTATAAAATAGGCAATGGCCATTTTTTGTTTATTTATTTTACTTTTAAACTGTTTTTATTGCACTTTCAATGTTCGAGTACACTGCAAACGTTTTTGCACAATTTTTAATTTTTTTGCGATTTTCTTTTTGTCTTTTTCAATAATTTTTATTTTTGGCGCCAAAATTATGTGTGCGCGCTTTTTCACTTTTACGTAGAAAACTAAAAGCTGCGGTGTGAATATTCAAACTTGTGCTCCTCTGGCTGTACTGTTGCCTTATCAAACGTTCAGCATAGACTGACTGTAAATATCCTTGCCGCAGTCACTTTTATAAAGTTGCCAGCGCTGCTTTCGGCGACGTCGTGCTTCCTAGGAAGCAACAGCGCGTTGTTGTTGTCGTCGTCGTCGTCGCCGTCGTCGTTGGTTCGGTCGCCGTGGTTCGGTCGACGTGGTTCGGTGGTAATGGTAAGTGTCACCCCCCAAATAATACACACAAAGCGGACGCAGGGTGTGCGCTTTGTTTATGCCAACAACCAACCAATTGAACCACCAACCACAGCCACTCACACCAACGGCGCGACGGGCGTAAAACCACCCCCGGAACGTGACACGGACACGGACACGGCAGTGCTTTGGCACCTTTGCCTGAGAGAGGAGCCCTCCCGAGAGCAGCGCGCACGAGAGTAAGAGAGCGAGAGAGCGAGCAACAAGCACTTCACGTTACGTTGCGTTACGTTACTCGTAACGTTATCTGTAGCTTCTCTAGCTTGCTTACGTTTGTTGTTGGGGTGGTTCGCCCGAATTTCGAATTTCGAAACAGGCTTTCGACTCTTCTCTCTGGATGTGCTGTATGGGTTTGGGTTTGTGTTTGTTGCTAAGCGGCTGGACTCGTAAAGCCAAGGAGGGGAAGAAACATATTCGAATAAGTTCGAAGATTTCTGTGGAAAGGCAATTACTATATATAATTTGAGGGTTTTTCTAGACAAGTTTGTTGTTATTCAGTAGATTGTAATAATTATGCACTTGGGCTCTCCTCCCAATTTTCTAAATAAAAGCGTAATCTTAAATATAGTACTTTTTATTAGTGTACTCAGTTCAACATTTCAAGAATTTATAGAGACTTTATCTGACCTATATTTGTGATATCATTAATTAGTCATTATTTATGAATAAGTTAGCGTTAACTCCAGTGTATGACAAATTTAGGGGGTAAACAATGATTAGTTAGTCTTAGTCAAAGCTCAAAAATCTTAGAAGTTTATAATTATTATACCTTTAATATAAACCACTAGGCGATATTCAAAATATTGCAATTTGATTTTGAAGCATATTTGATGGGAAAAACCCAATGTGTCAGCGGTTTTCATGGATTTTTCTGGCACATTATAGTTCTTGGATAGACAGAATTTTTTTTTTCGATTTTTCTAATTTTTTAAAAGAATCTTAGTTATTTATATTTATTACTCCATTAATGAATAATGGATATACCAAAAAAATTTTTTTTTTAATTATTCTAATTTTTTTGAAGAATCTCAGTTTTTTGTATGTATTACTCCATTAATGGACAGCATTTTTTTTTTCGATTTTTCTAATTTTTTAAAGAATCTTAGTTATTTATATTTATTACTCCAATAATGGATAAACAGAATTTTTTTCGATTTTTCTAATTTTTTTAAAGAATCTCAGTTTTTTCTATTTATTAATCCATTAATGGGTAAAGGAAACAGATTTTTTTTTTCGATTTTTCTAATTTATTATACTTTTTCCTATATTTCACTCCATTAATGTTTTTTTCGATTTTTCTTACTTTTTTTTTGTTTCAGTATGAAAATAATGAATTCAATTAGAATATATTTTAGGTTAAAAAACAATCAAGTATATATAAAAATTAAACAATCAATTAAACATGCTTACCTGATAAATCCAAGTTGTATTGTAACGGACGGCTTTCTAAAGCTAACATCTATAGCCGAGTATGCTAGTAAGTAAATAATAAATAAAATAAACAATAAATCGAAATAGGTTGTTGCTAGCTGTACCAAAAAATTCAGCCCTAGCTGAAATGCTCCCTAAGTTATAGTGTAAATTCTTAAAGCTATACAAGTACACCATTTACTTCAATAAAATTAAATTCCTTGAAGCTGCTCCATGAAGCGCCTCAAGTTTCTTTAAGCATTTAAGCATCCCTCCTTTTTCATGTCATTTGTCTCTGCCTTCCCTCATACAAGAGTTTTTATAAGCTTGTTTGCATTTGTCCAGCAACCATAACCCACTAATGTCCCACCCAAGCCTTCAACTTGTCCTGCCACTTATCCTGCAACATTCTGCTACTCCCCATAACCTTCAAACTAACAGGACGGCAAAGAATTCACGCTGGCGTCGGCATTAGCCTTGAATTCCCCCACGTTCCGATGCTCAGTCATTATGATAAACAATTCCCTGCAAAAGTTGCAAAAACTCAATAAATGGCATTACTGTTGTAACATTTTAAAAGCGAGCTAAGCTTTTCTCCGCACACTTTCCACACTAGTCCAGTGCTTTGGTTTGTTGCCAGCCAGTTCCGGCACGGTTTCAATGTCACTGTCAAGGCCAATTAACTGACATTTGGTTGGCCAAAGCTTTCCTCGAATTGGTTTCAAGGCCGTGCGGGGCCGGCCGGCAACAAGCTCCACTTGCCGGAGCGTCTCTCCTCTTGGCTTTTGCCGGCATTTTTGTGCGTGCGACCTTGACAATGCGAATTGCTTAGGGAGCGCCCCCGATGTGGGTGCCGCAAACATTTGACACAGTCGACAGCACGTGCTTTTTATGGGAAGCTCAAGGACACCAAGTATTGATTAAATGTAGGGAGCACAGTGCGTGGGAGCTGATAGTAAATGCCATGATTTGTGGGTTGTCAGTTTTGGGGGAGAAACAAACTGCATTTGCTTGAATAGATGGCCATTGGTGGTACGAGCTTGTGGATACTACAATTGAATATTATGTGCATCTTAAATGAGCGATTCGATTTGACCTTGACAAACCAATAGGATATACTAATACTATGTTGATTTGTATTGAGTAGCCGCAGGTTTGTTTCATCCTTAAGCAATTATTGGCAGACTTTCAACAAAATGTGGATTGAATTTAAATAAGTTTAGAAATTTCAAAATAGGAACTGTTTGTTATGCTCAAGGACAAAGAGAACGAATATTCTCTGGCATTAAACTGTGTATAAGATTTTATAACTAATTTGAACGAGTGATAGGTGCGGCAGATGGAAAGTATACTTTGAATATATTTGTATTTTATTTGAGATCTAGAGTTTCAATAAACTTTTCATTATTGTTAATAAAATTATTAATAGTTACGTATCTTGATTATTCAAGTATGGGCTTGCTTTCTAGAATAATAAACATACATATATGTATATCAATATGTCTGAAGAAAAACAAAACATAAAAGATTTCATTTGGTAATTAATCTTTTTTCCACAATATAGTTGCATAAATGTTGTCAAATTTATTTCGACTTTTTAAATACATTTTAATTAGTTGTTTTTTATCGTGATTTCGTTTTAAGCTTTGGGATACTAGTTCGGGGCCGTTCATGAAATTAATATATTTAACCCTTATTGTAAAAAATTTATTAAATTAGGTGCAGATTTTTAAATGGGAAATAACTCAATAAAAACCATTGACAACCATCTGCTACCCGACATTGAATTTAAAATTCTTCAGTCTGTTTCATTCATTTACTAAATGATTAATAAAATTAAACTCTGTACATAAATTAAGGACAATTCCTTTACTCTGCTTCAATTTCGCTTTGATGTGCTCCTTGAGGTATGCAATAAAAATGTGCACTCGCCTTAAATCAAGTGTGTGTGTGTGGGGGTGTGTGTGGGTGGGGTTTAATATTCAAACCACAGTTGAGGCATGCATGAGAGCATCTCCCTGGATACACACGCATACTACTTATAGTATATACTATATGCGAGGCCACACAATCAGCAGATCCAGTCAAGCTTTTCAGCTTAACGACAACTGCAAGTAACACCTTACACACGCTTATCAGCAATAAGCAGCAGCTGCCATGCACTTGAAGCTCATTAAAAATTTGCAGGCAACTTCAGTTATTTGCCAAAAGGAGGAAAATGCATTAAAAAGCGCCAGCCAACGGCCACGGCATGGCATGGCACGGCAATGAAATGCAAAAGTGCACTTTACACATTTGTGCGTAATGATTTTCCATTAACGTAAATTTGAATTAACAGAGCAAGAGCAAGAGCAAGAGCAACAACAGCAGCAACGGACGGTAGAGTGAAAACGTAATTACAAGAATGCCAATGTTGAAACAACAACACGCACTCTCCCACTCCCACTTATGCGTACTCTCCCACTCTCGCACTCTCGCACTCTCCCACACACCCACTGCCTAGCCACCATCATCACTCTCTCTTGCTCGCCCTCGCATTCATTTGATAAATGCCGTTGGCATTAACTGCATAAGCTCGCTCAATCCTTTGCGTGCCGTCGCCTATCACTGCCTGTTGTGTACTGGGCGGAGGGGGGCGTGGCAGGGCGCCTCTTTTCGCTTTTCGAAGCTGTTGTCACACACAAAATGTGACATGAACCGATGCCCATCGCTGCCATTTAGCCTGTCCGTCTGTCCGTCTGTCCGACTGTCTGCCTGACTGCTGTTTATGGTAATTATTTATTTTCGGGCCGTCTCTGACACAGCCACTGCCTAGACTTTTCATCATTGTAATAAACATAAAATTTTATGTTTATGCTACAGTTTTTTGACTGTTGTTTGCTTTTATTATTGTTGTCTGTTTTGCATTGCGTTTGTTGGCTGTTAATGCGTTTTGAATGTTGTTGTTGAAGTGCGTGGCTGACGATCCTTCCTTCCAGTGCATTGGGGAAGAGGAAGCGGGCAGGTGTTGCTACTATGTATTGATACTCTCTGAATTGGAATTGTAATTGTAATTGTTAGAGTGGAACGCTGCGACAAATGTGATTCGAGTTTAACAGACTCACGATATTGAGATTGAAATTATAGCT